ATTTTCACTAAACAGTAAATAAAAGATAAATAAAATTACCAGCAATTTCCTTATTGCTGATAAATTTGGTGAAAAAATTTTTTATTTTGTTTATATCAGTTTAATTTGAATCACTCAATTATTTTTCTTTCTCTTCTCATTCGGCTTAAGCACCAATTTGTGACCAAAAAAAATTAAAAAATGAAGAAACTAAAGCACCATTATACATACATGAATTTTTTTTTGTTCCGATTTATCACAGCTTCCACAACAATCACTCTATGACTTAGACAAATTTAGCTCCAAAACTTTATTCTTCAATTAATTTGTTTTTCTTTTTGGTTCTTTTAAAACAACAAGAAAAAAAAACGATAAAGAGCACAAAAAAAAGGCACAAGACAAAAATAAATTTACTAAAAAGAAAAAATAAAGGAAAAAAGGCCAAAGAATAAATAAATAAAAGATTTCAGCTTTAGCTCAACAATGGTTTAGCCAAAATGTTGCTTCGTGCACATCAGCAAATTATCCGTCCTGCAATTTTGATGTGATCAACAACTTCTAGTCCAGAATCGTCATCAGTTTCTGCAGAAAAATAATGAAAGTCATTAGATACAGGAAAACTTCTTCAGGTATACCTTCCGAATGCTTCTTTATTCATCAAAAAACCATAGGCTTCAGACGCCAGTCAACAACAAACAGTCACTGAAACCACTTTTGTACATTTCAGTGATATTCCACCAGAAAATCCAATTGTGTTCGTCTTCTTATTTACTTCACTAAACTACAGAACAGACAGAAGTTAAAAAGACTGAGAACGAAGAAAAAGTGATCACAAATCGACGTGGTTTTTTTTTTTTTGCCTTCATTTTCTTCTGCTTTTCTTCCCATACTGCATACGAAACTGCAAATTTTTACCGACTTTTTGTTTTGCACTAAACTTAATTTCTAGTTTGCACTAGGATTTACAAGAACAAGCTAAACTGTTGCTATTGAAAACAGTGCCAAACTGCTGACACAAAAATTCATATCGATAACCGTCACTTCCCAAACAACAACTATTCAGTAGCTTAATTGAAATAAGTTTGTCTTTTTTTTACACCCCTTTCCACCCTCTTCTCCATCCTTT